CAAACATATAATAGTGTGTACAATATATGTATATATATATATATATATATATATATATATATTTTATTTATTTGGCATAGTTACACATAATTTTAGTATTAATTTTAAATAAAATATAATAATATACTAACATATATTATATTTATTGTATGAATAAAAATAATTTTTAGTAGTATATATTATATCACTATAAAATATGTTGGTGTATGATAATTTTCTTGTATAGAAATGAAGAGTAGTGCAATGAAGACAGGAGTAGTGTCATGACCCAATTTTGACTCACATTCGTACAATTTATCATCCTATATTGGCAAGCTTAATTTATTTAAAAGAAACTCAACATAGATGACTCGTGTACTATTTATTTACAAAAGAAAATATATTTCAAAGGAATTTCTACCTAAATTTTGGTCGAATAATATGAATAGCGCAAATTTTTCATTGACTTGCAGGATCACAAAATTATAAATCCAGACATGATAAAGGCCCACACGAGCCGATCACAGAATTTCTCTACGCTGATAATATGTTTTTTTTTTTTTTGCCATCGATAATACTGACGAAAGGTGTTTGCTAAGTCATTAGGAAGAAGGAAGAAAATTACCATTTTTAGCGAGATAAATGGGGGAATTAAAAAAAAAAAAAAACGTTAGTAAATAATTTCAAATAGATTTGACCAACTAACAAATTTTATTTTATTGCCGAATGTTTTTACATTTGAATTAGTACATCATTAATTGAATTGTATAAATTAATCATTAATTTCATAAAATATTATTATTATTATTATTATTGTCAATGATATATATAATTGATCATGTGGTGTGGTTAAATCTATTGCTTTTATGTGTGTATTTCAAAAGAATGAAATCTCATATTACTTGAATCTAGTAAAGTATAAGTGCTTATATATTAAAGAATATCTTACACTTTTAAAGAGGCAAATTGGTGGTGGGTTCGCACCCATGAGAATTGTAACACCTCGATTTTTAAAAATTATATAAAGGATCAAAGTCTAAATAAGGGTGATTTAGTAGTCTAGAATGAGTTGTTCCAAACTACTAAAAAGGCCTATAATCCTAGTTGGGGACGGACCGTTCTGGTTTAAGAATGAGCCGTTCCAAACATGGTCGTTGTGAGTTAAACTCAACCCCAGAACGGGCTGTTCTAGTTTAAGAATGGGCCGTTCTAGATGTGAATTTTACACATGACGAATGAGTCCAGAACAGGCCGTTCTGGATCCAAAACGGTCCGTTCTAACCACTCCTGACGTCTATAAATAACAAACTCTGACACTACCAAAAACATATTTTTCACTTCTGACATCTTTTTCTTCTATACTCTCTGGAGACCGAGGGGAATCTAGAGGAGGAGAATCCTATGTTTGTTGTATGCTCATGTATGAGGCATTTTCCCAATTATATCTGTTTCATCTATTGTTCTTCTTATATGTAAATAATTGTATGATTTGAGATCTCTATGGGTTCCTATGGGAAACCTTAAGGGAATCCATTGGTGATTGTAAGAGGAAATTGTTTGAAGAGGTAATTGTATGAGTAAATTGTATTGTTTTAAATATTTATTGTATGAATTAGAGTGCTCCGTGGGTTTCTGTGGGAACCTTATGAGAAACAGACAAATTTGTAATATTTCTGTTTTACCTTCTAAGTTTTCTGTTGTATTCCGTGATGTTTGCTAAGTGTAAATATGTGTTTATTTTCGAAAATAGACAAGTTTTGATATAAATTAAAGTTATCTGTGGAGACTATGAATATGATGAGATAATGTGAAAAGTGAATATGAGACATGAGATATAATGATATGTGATAATGTGATATGAGAATGGATAGAGTCTTGAATTACATGCATCATTTGCATAAATGTTTTAAGGGTACGATATGGAATACGCCCTCAAGGAAGGCTCCCTTGTGTAAAAGCTTGGGGATTAGTCCTTGGGGATAGCTTAGTTTGGAAGTCTCAATCTCGCCCATTGTGTGCATGAGATGTATCTTGCGCGTCTTAGCTATCTCGATTAGACCCTGATAGTATGTCCTTCTAGTGGGAGTGCGTAGAGGGTGTGACCTGGCATGTACTCCTAGACTACTCTTCGTGTGTTGCTAGCGGCAATTGTGACACCCTTACTACCCCAACACATATATCGTAATAATGTAATTAAACTAAGGAAATAAAGGGTTCGCATAAAAACCTTCAGAACAATTCTTCAATATCCAAAATAATTGAAAAATAAAAATTTAAAAATAAGACATAAGAGTTTATAAATTATTTTTAAAGGAATAAGTATAACTCCAATTATAAATAAAAATCCATGTCCTAGAAATCCTCTGCCCCAATGTCACAATATTAGAGCATACCCACAATTCAATTGTTGACATTATAGATGCCACACATAGCCAGATCTTCCTCACCTAAAACATCCATAAATTGTAGGCCGTTTCCAAATTGGAACGGGCCGTTCCAAACTACTAAAATTGCCTACAAATCTTAGTTGAGAACGGGGCGTTCCAAATTACCAAAAAGGCTTGTAATCCTAGTTGGGAACGGGCCGTTCTGGTATAAGAACGGGCCGTTCCAAACATGGCCGTTATGGGTTAAAATATAACCCCAGAACGGGCTATTCTGGTTTTAAAATGGGTCGTTCTGGATGTGAAATTTAACACATGATGAAGAGTCCACAACGGGCCGTTCTGGATTTGAAACGGGTCGTTCCAGCCACTCCTGATGCCTATAAATAGCACGCTCTGGCACACCCAAAAACACACTTTTCAGTTATGACTTTTTTCAGTTCTGACTTCTTTTCCTTCTACATTATCTGAAGACCGAGGGGAACCTAGAGGAGGAGACCAACCAGATCCTGCTTTAGTTTCAGCTACTGCTTATCGAGGTACGGGGGAAAATGGAATTATTTGTATGCAAAGTTACATAAGGGAATTGGGTAGAGGAGGAAGCTTGTAGGATTATGAGTAATTTTATAATTATGTATTATGAAGATAAATATAAAGGTTTTCTACTCAAAACATCGGTCACCACAATGGCTTTGGCCAAACAAAAAATAAGATCAAAATCTTATTTCTTAAGAAATTCCAACTATCTCTTTTGGTCAAAAGATATTTAAGGCTCTTATGATCACTAAATACCTCAAACTTAGAATCATATAGGTAGTGTCTCCAAATCTTAGAATAAATATTACAACTACTAACTTAAAGTCATGGGTAAGGTAATTCCTCTCATGAATTCTCAATTTCCTAGAATCATAAGCTACTACCGTTCCTTCTTGCATCAACACTCCGCCCAAACCTATCTTAGAAACACTACTATATACCATAAAAGGCTTACTAAAATCCAATAATATTAACAGTAGCCAACCTTTCCTTAAGAGTTTGGAAACTACTCTCATACTTGCCATCCCACACAAAGGCAACTCTCTCTTCCTAGTCAATCCAGTCAATGGTAATGTTATCTTAGAAATTTCCTCAATAAACCTCCTATAATAATAAGATAATCTAAGAAAACTCTTAACCTCACTAATTGACTTAAGTATCTCCCACTTAAGCACAACTTCTACCATAGATAGATCTACATTATACCTCCACTAAAATTTAAAAGACCTAGAAACTCACTTCATATAACCAAAAATCATACTTAGATAACTTAGTCTAAAGTTGTCTTGGATATATCCTCACTCTCAACTCCAATCTGATGACATCACATCCTAAGGTCAATCTCACTAATCATACAAACATTCACTAATTGATCCCTAAGGTCATCTATCCTCATATCAACATACATGCATATCAAATCATATTAGAATACCTATTTTAAACATTCATATATACCATCCCTAAGCATGTACGAATTAATCACCGTTTACTCCATATAGCATGTACATGAACCAACTTTACCACATAGCATCATACAACCTTAAAGAACCTTTCAATCCATATGACAACGCCTCAGAACATGATAACCAAATCAATTTTTATTCTTGCATTGCCTAACAACTTAAAACATCATGACACCGTACATATCCCTTCAATAATTGTCAAAGAAAATGATACCTAGAGAGTTATACTCATCCAAATGATCTCAAACCTATCTCAAAAGAAAGCTAAGAGAATAAGCTACAACTCTTATGAAAAAAAAAAGATCATCTTCTTAGCTAAAAAATTCAAAAACCACAACAAATATATTCATCGGTTACAGCTAGACCTCTAACCACCAAAGTAGCTATAACTGGAGTTCTAGATCTTTGTTTTACCTGATTCTAGTTCCATTGGAAAGATAACATCCAAGGCTACAAGTTTTGTGAAGACTATAAAATCTAAACCTGTCAATAAAGAACTTGTATGGGTACAACAAAACTGCAGTGTAAACATCCCCTACACCAGACAGTAATAGTGTATCAATATCTAAAGCCACGAAAATACCTTAACCCTTCCAAACCCACTCCTTTCCACCTCAAACTCATATCCAAGCTTTCCACTACAAACCTAAACCAAAACAACACACATATTCAACACAAAAGACTTAGAAACTGAAATAAAACTTACATGCTACCTAAACCATAAAAGGTTAACACGCAAGCACCAACCCTAAAGGAATTCACCAACATTTCAATCTCTCATCAAGAA